ATATAACTTCGTAACAAGACAAACATTGCTTAAAATTCCAAAGGATGGGAAGTTGTGGAGAGCTACGAACATCTACTTAAATGTAAATGGATGTCAGAACAGTGATTGGAAGAGAAAGTAACAAGACAAACATTGCTTAGAGCTACAAAGGATAGGAAGTTGTGGAGAGCCATGATCACCTCCCTCACAAGCTTTTTTTAAACGGATATCAGAATGGGGCGTGGGAGGGAAAGTAACACGACAGACATTGCTTTGAACTACAGAGGATAGGAAATTGTGGAGAGCTATGATCTCACACGTCCTGAACTGGCACGGCACATAGAAGACAACAAAAAAGAAGAATTAAAAAGAAATAGAATTAAAGAAGAAGAAGAAGTAGTAGTAGAAGAAGAAGAGGAGGAGGAGGTGAAGAAGAAGAAGAAAAAGAAGAAGATGGTGATGATGAAGAAGAAGAGGTGAAGAAGAAGAAGAGGTGAAGAAGAGGTGAAAAAGAAGAAGAGGGGGAGGAGGAGGAGGAGGAGGAAGAAGAAGTGAAGGAAAAGAAGAAGAAGAGGTGAAGGAGAGGAAGAGGTGAAGGAGAAGAAGAAGAAGAAGAAGAAGAAGAAGAAGAGAAAGAAAAATATACAATGCTAAACAACAAAAAGGAAGCAGGCTTGAATAATTTATATAATATATTTATTAAACGTTATTTCTCTACATTTAATATGTTTTGTATGTGTTTGTATATCTAAATATAAAACTATTTTTAAATCTACGCCGTTATTTGACACGGTTGACTGAAGATGTTTCTGTCAATTTGCATGAAGTTTTTTTTTTCTTCGAATAGGAAGCTTTCAGTTAAAAAACGTGTCCCAATTATTGGTCATTCATTAGTTATATCGTACTTGTTGAATTGAAGGCCCTAACTATTAATAACTTCCCCGACCAGCCGACAGGGAGGGGGGTGCGTATTATGCAATCGATTAGAAAAGGTGGTACTGTGGGTGTGTGCTGACCCGACAGGTGTTTGTATTGTAAGACTGCCGTGCGTGCGCCGCCTTGTCTGCTATTTATGATGGTGCCAGCGTTTTCATTTTGAAATCTTAAATGCCCGCTGGTACCTTTAAGCTGGGAGTGTGTCATAAATGATTGTTTGAGAATTTCGAGGTTTTGTTCAAAGACTGGCAGAATACAAAAGAGCGTAGTTGGTATGAATCAGTGAATAGGAAGTAAGTGAGATTGAGATTGGAGGCAGATATTTACTACAGAAAAGAAACGCTTGGTGAGTGGTGAGAGGGATGGTCCGTTAGTTGCTTACTCATATAGACATCTACACATTTTTTTTTCTAAAAAAGAAAAAAAAATGAAAGGAAGGGGGAAAGAACATTAGAGAAAAATTGAAATAAAATCCGAAATTAACACTGCAAACCACGGAAACGTGACATTGTACATACTATAAAAGAATCCTTTTTAACTCATTAACGGTTACCATCCCATTTTGGGAAAGGTGGGCATTAATGGCTTCCACATATACCCCTATGATTCATACCAGACTTTTATGAACCTATAATTAATAAGATTTTTTTTTAGAAATCTATCATTAATAACTGTTTTTATTTTTGTAATTAATATCGTATTTTAATATAGCTATTGACCTGAAAAAGAAACTATAATATTCCTTATCGTATATGTCAGCCTATAAGACGACCTTTTAATCTAATAAAATCCCCCTAAAAATAGAGGACCGTCTTATAATCCAGGTATAAAATGTGAACCTTAAATACTGTGGTGATGGGAGATTTCCATTAGCAGGCTAACCCCTCCTTGGTTACTGTTGTAGCATACCTACGGACAATAATGGGTATGTCTCCATTCACATAAATACAATAGTAAGCACTGTATGTTGGTCTGCATTTAGAGATTCGTCTCTAGCCGTGCTGGTCAAACACACTGCCTGCGGACAGAGATGATCCCCAGACGAGGCTATGTCGAAGGGCAAAGTCTCGTCTCGGGAGACAGCTATCCGACCCCGTTTTCTACGGTGTGTACGGAGAATTTTTGGCCGAGCCTACGGGCTCGGATACCCCACATTAAATTCGGCCTTATGCCACATCTGCCCGCATGAGGCGGTTGGGTAGATATCCTGTAGTTGGAGATTCGTCTCCAGCTGTGCTGGCAAAACTCTCTGTCTCCGGACATAGAGGATCCCCAGACGAAGCTTTGTCGAAGGGCAGAGTCTCGTCTCGGGAAACAACTACCCATCTCCGTTTTATACGCGGTGTACGGGGAAATTTTGGTCGAGCCTACGGGCTCGCTTAGCCCACATTGTGCCACATCTGACCGCGTTGGGCGGTTGGTAGATATCCTGCAGTTGGAGATTCATTGTGGAATTCCCTTGATTCACTTCTAGCAGTTGACTATTTCTATAGATTCACTTCTAGCAGTTGACTATTTTATATAGCTTCGGTGCGTACACCGAAGCTATATAAAATAACAAAAAATATAACACACTAGTCATCAAATATAGGAAATATAAGAATATGTTATTAATCAATCTCATTCGTTAGTAAGTGAATTAAATAAAAAAATGAACTGCAAGGGTTACGTCCCTTACTTCTTTTATGTCAGTGTCAGTAAAATCTTTGTGTCCACAAAATCCTTATTGAAGTCGTTTGATCATTTCATAAGTAATTTGTTTCCGTTGCTGTCCGTGCCAATTCCGATACCTGTCTTTGCTTCTTCGTGACGTGATTCCAATAATTCTATATATATATATATATATATATATATATATATATATATAGGGTGTCGATAAAGTTCGTGTGCACTTTAAAAAAAATTTAAACTTGATTTATATTTGCGATAGAAATAATTTGCAAAAACGATTAGAAAGAAGTAAATCTATATTTTTAAGGTTGTATTGAAATTTTATTTAAGTTTCCACATGTCCTCCATCATTAGCAATACAAAGGGTAATACGATTTTGAAGTTCACGGAGAACATTTGCCAACTGATTTACAGTAAACCTAAATGCATTACTCTTCAAGTACGAATTGAGTTCTCTTAGCCGATGGCGTATTTCGTATAGAAAACGCGAAAATTTCTCATTCTCTCTAACCTACGCCGACAGATTAGCGGTAGGATCTCTGACTGAGGCCAGATCGTTTGAGTTTCGATCCCGGATTGAAACAATCGTACGTCTAGCCACATTGAAGAGACGTGATACAGCGAAACAGTCTATTTGTGGGTGACTATATATATTATATATATATATATATATATATATATATATATGTGTGTGTGTGTGTGTGTGTGTGTGCGTTTATTTTATATGTGCAGTACTTAGTGAAAAGTGTTCAATATTAGTGACAGATCTAACCTATTCAGTTGTATGGATATGAGTTTGTGACTCAGGTACGGAGGGAAATTCCCCTTCCCACAACCAAACATAGTCAAACAAACATAAACAGATCCAATTTTTTAAAATAAACCAGTTTCTCTGATGATTGCCAAAGCGTAGAACCCAGGGTCACAAACTCATAACAATACAACTGAATACACACACATACACATATATATATATATATATATATATATATATATATATATATATATATATATATATATATATATATATATATATATTCGGAGGTCGAATATTTTCTGTGAAAATTTCTCGGATATTCAGGCCGGTAAATGTTGTTTAATACTGTTTATTATAAACAGAGCATTTACTTAAATATTTGTATCTATAAAAAGAATGTATAAACATAAAATTGTCTTAAAATCATATATATATATATATGTGTGTGTGTGTGTCTGTCTGTCTGTCTGTCTGTGTGTGTGTGTATTCAGTTGTATGGATATTGTAGGGGAATTCCTCTTGAATAATTCTCGGTTTTATATATATATATATATATATATATATATATATATATATATAAGACCCCTTTTGCGACATTATCTCGACTGACTATTTCTGCAATTAGTCCAAACGATGGCTGTATGCCTTTCACAAGAGCTTTACTGACAGTCTACCTTAGTCGGCAACTGTACTGGTTTCGCTGCTTCCATTTTCTTTTTCTTTTTTTTGTTTGTAACCGTACTAACATTACAAAAAGTGAAACCAACATTAGGTTGGCACATTTATAAAAAGCGAAAAGTTAGTGTCAGTTGGTGAGATCATGGGGTCTGGTGTTGGGGACCCAATAGAAATAAGCCATTGTCTTTAAAACTTTGATTTTAAATCTGGCATCATCACTATCTTATTAACTGACTTCTCCTGAAAAGCTTGTGAGACAGAAGCGTATATTTGCGCACGCGCAAACCCCTCCCATACTAATCTCTCCGATACAGTAATTTCCCGCCTTCGTTATTTCATGAGAAAATGACGAGTACCACCTCTTGCTATTAGAGCTAATATTGACTAAAGTTTTCGCATTTTCTCAGGAAATGAATAACATCAACTCACATTTCATACGTCAATACTTGCATTCTTTTTTTTTTAAATTTCAAACTGAATAATACTTGAAAAAAATCAATATCAAATGTAGATGACAAGGAAGAGATAAAAGAATACGAAGCAAAAGATATTTTGAAATTGATGAAAAAAAAAATTAAGGATAAACGTAATGAAGGCAGTAAAGTAATAAGGAAAACTAAAAACAATCTATTTTACAGAATAGTGCTTAATTAAAGAGGAGAGAGAGATATTTTTAAGATTCAAGTGCTTAAAGAGAAATAACAGTCGCTTCCAACAGAGAAAATAACAAAGGAGTAACGGAATGGTGGTGAAATAACATTTCGAGAATTTTCTACCAATTTATTTTTTCGACTTTTTTTAATTAATTAATTTTTTCGTATTTTTTGCTCTAAAAATTTTTACGTCTATTTTCGTCGTTGCTTTCTGTTAATTTTTCTATTTTCGTTTTTAATTTCGCTTTGTTTTATTCTTTCTAAAAAGAGAAAAAAATCATAAAAAATGGATTTTTAATTCATTTTTCCCCCCACTTTTTCTTCAGCCTTATCATTCCCTATAATTGCAAAAGTGATTTTTAGAACGACCTTGTTTAACTACGACTATACTCACTCCCTCCTTTTTCATTCGTTCGTTCTTTCGTTTTCTGTCTTTTTTTTTCTCTTCTTCTTTTTCCTTCCTTTCTCGGTATCTTCATTTCTTTCCCCTTATATTTTCCTTCTATAATTTCTCAATTTCTATCCACCCAATGTATTCCTATCTTCACTATTTTCTTCCTGACAGTTTTCTTACTCTCACTTATTATTATACTATCTCTTCTTTCTCTGTCTCTCTCTTTCTCTCTCGCCCATAAAAGCAAAGACTTCCTCCTTTTCTCTTCCTCTCTCTCTTTCTTCCTCACTCATTCTGGTTATCTTTCTTCCTCATATACTCCCAGCTTTTTTTGTTAAATAGCACTATACCGATCTTCATTCCACATAGATCTCTCTCTCTCTCTCTCTCTCTCTCTCTCTCTCTCAGCAGAGATTTCCTACTTTGTTTCTGTTCTGTTTCTACTTTCCTTTTCTTTTTCTCCCCCCCCACTTCCTTTTCTTTTTACCTACTAGTCTCTTTTCTTCAATCCGTTCATATCTCTCATTCTCCTCTTTAATCTATTTGCCTCTCTCTCTCTCTCTCTCTCTCTCTCAATTCATCGAAGGAAATGCACGAATACTTACATTACTTAGACACAGGACATAAACTATATTTCTGTTGCTCTTATCAACATGCATCGGCTATGGTCCTGCCCAACCTTCATCAAATACTTGTTAATCCAAATAACCTTCAGTGAATTTCAAACTAAACACTTTTTAAAAAGAAAATCGAGGGTGTGTAAACCAAATGGCATTAAAGCAAAAAGTGCGGAAGGTTACCCACTTACCTAAATATACTGAAATGTCAAATCGTTATTGTAGTGTTTATTATTGTCGAAGACAAAAGTGTTGTGTTCATATGAAAGTTAAATTTCTTACTTGTGGAGTGAAAAACGCTGAGTCATTGCGTGATCGCTGATACCGTTTAAGGGGAGGTAACTAAGTATGGTTGTGGAGGATTTTTTTTACGAAATAAATAGTAAAAAAGCCTATTAGTGCAAACCTTGGCATTTCAAACTATTGTACACATTTTAAAACATCCGTGGAGTATACATAATTCATTTTTATTAAGGTTTGCTTTCAATTTTTGTAATATAAATAGCTTCTAGAATTTTTAGTTTTTGTTTATTCTTATCGTGAAAACTAGAGAAGTATTTTGGACAAGAACTTTTCTGAATTCCGAATGTGAACAGGTATGTTGTTGCAAATGTTTAGAAATGCTGGACCTATTATTCAAATGAAAATTTTGCCGCCGAGACAAAGTTGCTGTATTGTGTCCAACATAAACGTAATTCTTTTTACATAGTTACCTCCCCTGAAATGGTGTCAGCAATCACGCGCTGACTCATGTTTCTTCATTCCACAAGTAGGAAATTTTGCTTTCAGATCAACACAACAATTTTTTTTCGACAATAATGAACACTACAATATTTGTCTTGCATGAAACAATACTCTGAAGATGACATTGTGCTATGTCGAAAGTACTCGGAATATAAGAAATATGTATCAACACGGCCATTGTCTCTAGTCCTTCAATAATAAAACCAAAAAGCTTATCCGTGAATATGAAAGGATCCTATCGAAAATAAGTAAACAAAACATTTTTCAACGAAACATGTCTCAACGAAAGCATACTGCTAAAATATACGTAGATTTATATATGGAAAAAAGTGTATGACAATGTGGAAAAAGTTTTCGTGTGGTCAATTTCCTCCCGTAGGACGTCCCGGGACTAAATTTGCAATGTTGCTGCGACTACACAAGAGCACGAACGAGGGATGCTGGGAATTTTTTTTTAATCCAATATAGTTCTTGATATATAAGAAGATATAAGTTATCTATATATATATATATATATATATATATATATATATATATATATATATATATATATATATATATCTTTATATAACTTGCAGTTCTATAAATAAAATATAGTATATTAAATGAAGAGATTGAGATAGATTGATAAATAGATAGATATGAAAGAGATAGATAATTGAGATAGATAAATAGATAGATAGATAGATAGATAATGAACTTATTGATATCAATAATGAATAGACTGAGATAGATAGATAGATAGATATGAAGAGAATGAAATCGATAGATAGATAGATATGAATAGAATGAGATAGATAATAGATAGATAGATATAGATAGATAGATAGATAGATAGATAGATAGATAGAATAGAGAGATAGATAGATAGATAGATAGATAGATAGATATGAATGCTTTGAGATAGATGTGAACGTAGATAGATAGATAGATAGATAGATAGATAGATAGATAGATAGATAGATAGATAGTGGACTGACATGAAGGAGAAAGATTATATCTAATCAATTGTTAGGTCTGCGATTAGGAAGGTTTGTTAAGTGTGTCGTGCTAGAACATTTTCTAATATTCATTGCCATATAGGAGAACAGATATTACATAACAGTTCCAACGCAATAGAATTAATAGATCTTTATGCCAACGTAATACCACAAACAGGATTTATTAATAAATGTCAACAAAATTGATTCGTCATTAGGTATAATGGACTCGCCAAATTTTATGGCTGCAGGGCAATGAAACAATAATAACAGACGCGGTTTGGCATTGATTGAATTTCAATGCTGTATACATAATACAGCATGGCCGAGTGGTTAGAACGCTCGTGTTCTGACCATGAGACCCGGGTTCAATTCTCATCATGGTCGGTTTGTCAAGAAGGAGGAATCTATTCCAGCGTGCAGCAACTTTGGAAAGTGCCTGAAAATCACAGCACGGTTTGATCCAAGCCTTGTGAATGAAATTAGGGTAAACAAACCCTTTGGGGCTGTCGATAGCCGTGCTAGCACGAAGTCACAAGTCATCGTGCCCGATGTCTTGAGTGTGATGGTCTTGTTCAAATTGTTGATCATGCTAGATAACACGCTCTTTCCCAGAAACTGCAACTAAGGTCTGCTCAGCATAGTTGCAGTTTAAACCACAAGTGGAATCTGTGGGTGTTGAATAAACACAAATCAGCCAGAGCAAGCGTCTGCAATAGGGATTGGCTAGCCGCACTAGTAGACGGGTATCCTCGAATACAAGAGGCCATATATATATATATATATATATATACTTATCAAACTAGGTGTCATGATGGATATATTGCATTATATATAGAACTCACACTCTTTGGGTCCTGTCACTGGATCTAACTAACGTCCTTATCCACTGTGCCAAAGAATGCGAGTTCAATACCCGTTTAAGGCAGTGGAGAACTTTCAGAGGGACATTAACAGGAGATAACTGATAACTGACATCGATTAAACATGGCACATGGAACTAGAACAGTCTACCCCATGTGAGCGAAACATTGTGATAAATATGGCGACAAAGATGAGGACAATAGTCAATTTTTTTTCAAGAAAAAACAGTAAGATATATAATCCGGTGTTCTTATTAATATTTTTTTTTGTTATTTTTTACAAAATAGCGCTCAATGTAAATTTGCAGAGCATAAATATTATAAATTAACTGATTGAAAATTTTTTCGCTACACAGTAATACTCAGTTTCAAAAATGGAAGCTAAAAACTTTAAATTTAATGATATGATTGAATTAAAAACATTAGTTCCATTTCATCTTCAAGCGAATATTGGAATAACTTATTTTTAATTTTACCGAGTTTTAAACGCTCATCTAAATTCATAACTTCCTCTTTCCAAGGATACAGAGAAATCCAATCATTCAGACAGAAGCGGTAGCGTGTTCATTTTTATTGTTGTATCAATTATGAGTTACGTTCGAAAAAATGGTTAAGTTTAGGGAGGTTAGGTGTGCATTTTTCAACGAATTCTGACATCCGTTAAATGCATGTCGTTTGTTTTTTTTGTTTGTTTTTATTAACGGCAAAAAGTTTTTCGGCATTTTTTTCTTACTTGTATACTTAAAGATTCTTTCTAAAAGGGTTGTTTGAGTTAGAATACGAATAATTTTACTCTTGATTCATAATAGACTATATTTCTTTTTAAAACAAGTAAATGTAATAGAATTACTTAAATTATTTAAAATTATTTTTTCATATTTAATATAAGTATGTATATTACCAGCGCCCATTTTTTTTATTTTATTTTAAAATATTATCTAAGGAAAGTTTTTGACAATGACGGCAAAAAATAGCTATTTCATTTCTCTTATTCAGTAATTTTTAATTTTTTATAAACCTACATATTGTTTCTCATGTATGCACAAAGGACATGGGACATTTAATGACATACATATTCTAGCTTTTCTTATTAATTTCGATTTTACTGTAGGTGTTTCTGCAGTAATTTTTTTTTTCTTTTGCTGTAAAAATGCATATGCTTTGTTATAATAAATATATCGAGTTCTCTCTCTCTCTCTATATATATATATATATATATATATATATATATATATATATATATATATAAGAGAAATATATTTCCTTATCAGTCTCTCCCATTTATCTCTTAAATTTACTGTCTTGTCTCTTTTATCTCTCTCTTTCATTCTTTCATTTACTTTTACTGTTATCTGTCTCTCCAATATATACATTAAGAGAAATATCTTTTCTTATCAGTCTCTCCCATTTAACTCTGAAACTTACTACCCTGTCTCTTTTTTATCATATTTTCCCTCTCTCTCTTTCCTTTAATTATTTCCCTTTCTCATCCCCCTCTCTTCTTTCATCATGAAATATCTGTCTCTCTTCTTAACTCCCTCAGACCCTTTTACATTTTCTCTTTTTGTTTGTTTCACATCTTAACAGTTTATTTAGCTTTTTTTTACCAGTCTCTCTTTTTATCCGTCTCTCCCATTTAAGTCTTTACTCATCATTCTCTCTTCTTATCTTTCCCATTATTCCTCCCTCTCTCTTCCTCTCTCTCTCTTTCTCTTTATTTCCCTTTTGCCATTTACTGCTTGCCATTATCTGTCTCTCTTCACGTCTCCCGTCTTAATAGCCTATCCGATTTAAATGTCTCTATTTTGAATTGTCTCTCATTTACCTACTGGTATTACCCGTTCTTTCTTCTTATCTCTTTCTTGCTGTCTATTTCTACTCTTGTGTTTCTCCTTTCATCGGTCTCTTCATTTTACGTCTCTTCTTATCTGTCTCTCGCTTTTACGTCTTTCTCTTTCCGTATCTCTCTTTACTCTCATCTTTTTTCTATCATTTATTCCTTCTCTAGCATTTTTCGATTTCCCTTCATTTATTTTTCTTTAATCATTTCAGTTAGTCGGTTATGTGCTATGAAAATGAAAACGAACTTGCTAGCACTTGAATTTGATATTACCAATTTGTGATTATTGGTCTGTTCCTCATGCTGACAACCATACACTCTGACTAATGCCTGCATAAGAATAAAAAAAATGAATTCAGTAAATACAAAAATATCTTCGGGTTACCCGAGGTATGATTAGAAGTCGTCCACTGAAAGCATGGAGTAGAAACAAACTCTAAACAAATACCAAATGGACAGAACAAAAAGAAGTATCATATGGGGGAAAAAAAAAGATTTCGTTTGGATCCGGACGTGTGTTTTTTTTTTTTTTAATGAATTTGCATCCGGAACGTCTGATAAATTTGAAGGTCCTCCACAACTTCAGAGATGTGGAATTAAGGCTCAACTATGCAATACACAGAAAACTCTTTTAAGACTTAGAGACTTCTGACAAAACTGACAAACATGCATATTGTTGCAGAGGTTATATTTCGTATCATGAACCTTGGCTGGTAAACCATTATTTTAGGGTGACCAGCTCACATGTTTTTCATGAATCCAGCAGGAAGACAATATGAAGACGGATCGATAATGGGAAAAAGATGTTAGCATAGAAAAGAAAACAAAATATAATTCGAAATAAACTCTGTCAAATAGGAATGACTCCCGTTTAGTGAAGCGTTTAAGATATGCTAAAACATTTCCTAAAATACGTCAGAAATAACTGTTTGAAATGATACGTAAGTTTTATTTATTTGAAAAAGATTTTAGAACAACCCATAACATATTTTGGAAGCAAATACCTGTACAAGAATAAAAAATGGATTCCGTAAATAGAAAAAAATATGAAGGGGAGTAAGAAAATGATTTGTCGTCTCCCCAGACTTATTCTAAGAGAATTATATTGATTGATTGATTTGTCTCTTTATTGATTTTTTACGGTTTATCAATCTTTTCAAGGTTATTTAAAGCCGGAAAATATTTTTAGATTTTAAGATATTTTTGAAATAATAATGATTTACAAGTCTTACTAATTAACCCATGGATGGGGCGAGAAGAGGTGTGTGTAAGTGATTATAACGAACCCGATTGGAATTGGAAATCAGCGCTCACGGATGAAGAAGAGAATTAAGACATCATAAATGTGGGCCTAGAAAAGGATGCTGAGAATACTATAGAGTTAACAAGTGTGCAATATCGAAGTAAATGAAAATGCTAGTATTTGCTTGATTTTTCTATTTTCAATTTGTAATTTTTGATCTTTTCCTCATGCTAGCAACCATACATTCTGTTTTCTTGTAATTGTTAGTCCTTTCTTCTTGCTTTCCTTTCCTATCATCTAAAAGTAAAAGTGTCCTGTTTGCTTACATTCTTTTTACGCGTTCAGTTCATGGTATTCTCAGCTTCCTTCTTGTTGAATCACGTCTCTTTGCCTTGAGTCTCTATTTTTTTTTAATTTTTTTTTTTTTAAGCATTACGCCCCGAGCAAGGCTTGAAGCCACTAGGATGCAGGGGGTTGCAGAAGATTTTGAGCAAGAGCAGATAGGAGTGATAGAAGATAGGATTAGGAGAGGGATAGTGGGTAGATCAAGGTAACTAGAGGTGTCCATTGACATTACATTTGAATAGTTGGAGATTATAGCTCACAGGGAAACATGAGATCGTCCAGTATTCACTGTCATATAAGAGAATCGATATTACATTACAGTTTAATAAACTTCTCTTTTTTCCTATTAAATATTTCTGTTTCTTAATTCTTAGCTTTTTTTTTAATATTTAAGTTTAGGAAAGCACCTTTTGCTACCCCAATGTACCTTTGACTTTCGATGTTAGGTTTTAAATTCAGAGTTAAAATACTTCAGAAATAATTAAATGTTTGCACTTGTTTAACTTTGGTATTTATAATTTGTTCTTTAAATAATGGTCTGTTACTTTTACCGACAAACATACATTCTGTCTTCTTAAAGTCACTGTTTAGTCATTTACTTTCGCTTTCCTTTGCCATATTCTCTAAGAATTCCCGTTGTTTTTCTTTCTGTGTCTGCTATCAAAACTGCATATCTAATGTTGTTAAGGTCATTGAACCCTGGTCAGTCAGTTATGCGCTATGCGTGATACACGCTTAGTCGATCATGTATCTTTCGATACATGACTGACGAGGCAGATTTGGTTGTCAAGTCTTTCTGCGGTAGTCCAGTTTCTATCCAAGGCTATAGAACCCGGTCTGTCCTGCTATTCACCCATAGCTGGAGGCGGGGAGAAGAAGAGGATTCATACCTTTCCGAAGGGTATCAGCACGTAAATGATTGTAATGGATTCGACTAGAATTCAAACTCGGCTCTCCGATTTCTCAGTCCGAACCGTTAACCAATAATCGACCGTGCCTCCTCGTTAATCATTTCACAAGGCGATAAAGCCACTAAGACGCAAAGGGTTACTGAAAGTTTAAGAAAATGAGAATACTTTAGTGAAGAGAAAGGAGAAAGATTAGGATTGACGTTGCACTTAAATTTTTGAATATTTTTGGTGGCCGGTAAACAAAAACCAGAAGAGAAGTTCGAGAAAATAAATTATCAGAGTAGGGAACGATTGCATCTATCTATTTCAGAGGTAAAACGATTAGACCTAACAGCCAAACTGGGTAGTACGCTTAAATGCTTTTTATCGAGATACAAAGGAGGAGAGACCATTAGAACAATTGGCTCGTGCATATTTATAGAAAAATCACAGGGAGGGCGTGGCACAATGGTGGAGAAATGACTGAAGTTGAGATGCCAGCTCAGGATCAATAATATTACAGACTTTTTTTTTAAGCATTTCACCCCAAGCAAAGCGAGAGTGCCGGATTACTGAGATTGAGAGCAAGAGTAAAGAGGAGTGTTCGAGGAAAGCATAAAGAGAAGGACAGGAATCAAGATCATGGCATCAGTAGATGTCGACTGACATTACATTTGAATATTTGAATCTTATAGCTATCACGGGAAGTGCGAGATAAGAACCTATCGGGTTAGAAGAAGCGGTTACATTTAAATGTTTCGACCGTAAAAGGGTGGGAAAGAGATGCCAACCTAGTAGCACGCTTAACTTCATGCAGTTGGAGTACCAGTGAAAGTAGATTGTCAGAGCAGACGACATGAAAATATTTGTAGAAAAGACAGCGGGAAGCCACAATATAATTGTGGGAAAGTGACTATAGACGAGATGCCTGATCAGGACGTATCACATTACATATCCGTCTCTGGATTTTGTCGAGGACCTCGAGATGAATAGCGGGGGAGAGGGCGCCAGACCATATATGGCAAAAGTATTCAATACTTGGATCTTGTATTGAGTATTTATCTCTTTTTTCATTTAATATTTCATTTCATTAGTTACCTTTCTTCATATCTATCGTTCCTATTTATAACTTTTTAACTTATATGTCATTTCTTTCTTCACTTTCCTATTTTGTTTCTTTTTTTATTTATCTCCGATATTTTCTCATCTTATTACTCTCTCCTTGTAATCTGTCCTCATTACTTTTCTGAGATTTTTATCTCTCTCTTCAATTCAAATTTTCTTAGATTTCTCTCTCTTTCATTCGCGTTTTTTATACCCATTCAAATTTGTCTTTCCCATTGGCCTCTTAACTCAACTCTTAAGCTGTTTCTCCTCTTAGGCTTTTCCCATTTACATCTTCTCATTACCTGTCTCTCTCACACTTCTTCTTCTTCTTCTTCTTCTTCTTCTTCTTCTTCTTCTTCTTCTTCTTCTTCTTCTTCTTCTTCTTCTTCTTCTTCTTCTTCCCTCATCTTATTCTTCTTTACTTTTTCTTCTTTTCTTCCTTTTCTTCTTCCCTTCTTCTTCTTCTTTTTCTTCTTCTTCTTCTATTTTCTAGTTCTTCTTCCTTCTTCTTCTTCTTCTTCCTTCTTCTTCTTCTTCTTCTCTTCTTTTCCTTATCTGTCTTCTTCTTCTTTTTTATCTTCTTCTTCTTCTTTTTCTTCTTCTTCTTCTTCTTCTTCTTCTTCTTCTTCTTCTTCTTTTCTTCTTCAACTTCTTCTTCTTCTTTTCTTCTTCTTTTCTTCTTCTTCTTCTTCTTCTTCTTCTTCTTCTTCTTATCCTTCTTTTCTTTTTTCCCTGGTTTTCTATTCCTTCTAATCTTTCCCCTTTTCGGTTTGTTTGTCTCTCTTCTATTTTTGGTTGCTCCTTCTTATTATCTCTTCATACCTGTCTTCTCTCATTTACTTTTATACTGTTTAGTTATCTTCTTCTTTTCTCTCTTTCGCTCTCTCTCTCTCCCTCTCTCGTCTATCCCTTACTTTTTCTGGTTTTCCCCTTTTCTAATCTGTCTTCGGTTTGTGTCTTCTATTTTTGTAGCTGTCATTATCTTCATACCTGTCTTTCTCATTTACATATACTGTTTAGTTATCTCTCTCTGTCTATCTCTCTCTTTCTGTCATTTAACGGACTCTTTTAACCCTTTTATCACTCTCTTGTTTATCGCGTCTCTCTTTTTATAGGACTCCCCTACTTATCGCTTCATTTTACTTTCTGTCTCTCTAGTAACACGTCTCTCTCGCTTACATCTTCCCTTTTTTTGTCAGTCTATCATTTCCAATTCTTTCTGCCAGTTAGTTTTTCGAATGGCCCGTTTATTTCTTCTTATCATTTTCAACTCATTATCTATTCTTTTTATTAAATGTTCTCAGTGATATTCTTAAATTTTCCATTTTAATTATTTTGGGTTTTATCCGATTTGCATATTTATTTAGATCTGCGTATCTTTCAGAAAAAATAATGTGTTATCAACACATCGCAACTACACCGCAAAATGAATGCGAGAAAGTATTCAGTAAGTTCTCGGACGAACCCCTCCCAAAAGCAAAAATTGCAACAAATATTCAACAAAAACACTCTAAAAAACAAGCATTAGCTACACTGGAATTGCGACGAAAGACATGACTTACCTCAGAATTCGAAACAAACGCGAACGTGTCTTGTCTGCAAAGTGATGATAAAAAGAAATATGGCCGCTATTGAAGACACAATTTATGCGGGCCTATCTCGTCCAAAACGAGACGATATTTGCACACATGCAAATTTTGGCCGTATTGGAATAGCATAAAAAGCGGAGTGCTAGCAGCACGACAGAACCGAAGTCATTCTGAGAAAGGGAGCTACGCAATTCATTTTCTTGAGGCGACCAAAGAAGAAGAAAAAATAGCTGACCTGCCGGCGAGCACTGCACTGCACTTTTTGACCCCTCATCACCAGTTTTTTTTTTCTACAGGAATCATGGCAAAAATCATTAAAAATCACAACAGAAAAACCACAAGTATACTACAAACATCCATAAAACTCCACTTGTAACTGTAGGATAAAGTACGAATACCCGTTAAACGTTAACTGTTTATAAACGAGCACAATATACCAAGCTACTGTAAGTTGCAAAGGAGACACAGAAAAATAATTACGGCTCATAAATCTTTTGCAGATTAATCAAAGCCAAGAAAATACTTTCAAATTTGAAGAAACTCTTTGGAGATAATAACGAAGCCAACTAGCATTGGATCTCGATTTACCGATTGAAAATTACGAGTCGGTATCCATTACACCATCCGCACATCCAAGCTTACAGCACCTGGTATTACCAAGTGGGTGCCTATCTAGAGAAAAATATATAGAAAAATTTAATAGAAGATAACTGAAAATAGAGAAGCTGCATACAGGGAGAATATTATATCGACAAAGAGCAGGGTAGATGAGTCTCATGTTTTACTAGAATTGAATATGATCATATAAACAAGTTGTTAAGTAGTCACACTACCAATAACAAAAAAAGTTAGAAAGGAAACACCAGTTAAGCCTAAAAAAAGCTACATTATTTAGTGAGCTTCAGCAGATTGTTGAATTTTGGAACCTTGCTTTTTATATATATATATATATATATATATATATATATATATATATATATATATAAAGACATTTTTATGTTTATACATGTTTTTTTATAGATACAAATATTTAAGTAAATGCTCTGTTTATAATAAAAAGTATTAAACATTAACCGGCCTGAATGTCCGAGAAATTTTCATAGAAAATTTGCGTCCTCCGACAGGAATTGTACCTGTATCCTATATGGAACCGTCATATAGCCTGATGTGCCTTAACAGTTTCAGCCACATAGGAGCGTTTATGGTACGTCAGGCTATATGGCGGTTCCGTATTAAATACACACACACACACACACACACATATATATATATATATATATATATATATATATATATAAAAGTGAACATAAGTCAACACTTATATGCGACGTGGTCTGATTTCATATAGCATGAATCAGACTGTCGATTGCTCTATGTTGCTTCTATGTTCACTTTCATATTTACACACGCTCTATCTCTGATATTGAGCACTTTATCCCATAAATATAGCACACCTTAAGACTATATTTTTTATATATATATATATATATAGTGAGAAAGAAACAGATATAGAGATTGTTAGTAAACTGTCGATGGCTGTGCTAGCAGAAGTCACAAGTCATCGTGACCGAGAGAATGAGTGGAGTTATTTTGATCAACTGCTGATCACACGAGATTTTTCGCTCTCTCATCAAAACGGAAATTAATGTCCACTCAGCCTAAATGCAGTATAAATCGCAGAGGCTTCTGCAACAGTGTTTAATTACCCATCCTTTTAGATCGTTATACTCAGAAAAACGATCTGCCAGACAATATTTTATGATTATATACATATCTTCCTACAAACGTATATGACCAGCTTCTGTAAACTGCATGTATATATGCATATAATAAAAATATAGTTTTAAGTGACGATATAATTATGGTGTAGGACAGTTATGAAACTGAATAAATAATTACAAACTTTTTTATATACAAAAATACTCGTAGTAAATGAGAAAGAGTAAGACGTGGTAACAATAAAAGGAGTATTCATTATCTGGTTATGTGATAGGTTGGACACACGAGAGAGCGTAATATTGAGTAAAATTATGAGTTTGGGGTTAAATTTAGATTATATAGGGATCGGAATCCCACATAAGGATAAGATAAAAAATGAGGGAAGTTTATACAGTCTTTTTCTTAGAGATTATTTTTATACATGCGTGTGAATGGTGTCCAAATAAGTTAGTGTCTAGAGTTTTCTTACCTTGATTTATTTGTTGGATGTTAAGAAATTAATGATACCATTGTGACCTGAAAAAGGAAAGGAGTTGAAATTTGTTGTTTGCCTGTCCTATAGCGAGAATGTCACGTTTGTGTGTCTATGTGTAGAGGGGAAAACTGCGGTTGATCCTCATTGGTTTATAAAGAGCGAATTAATGAAAATGAAGAAATATGGTATAATGATTTTATTATAATTATTTTTGACACTATACTTAATTTTTATAGACACGACAAAATCGTATAATTTATAAAAAGTATTATTTATTTTATTTATTTATTTTATATGTATATGACAATGAGTTAAAGTGATCAATAACAGGGATATCGCGTATACACACACACACACACACACATATATATATATATATATGTAAAATACTAGTTTTAATATTGTTATTAAAACTATATTTTTAATATTAATATTTTGATTATTATTACCATTAATATTATTTTCATTATTAACAGTATTATTACCTATTATTATTTGATATTATTTTACTTTTTTATTATTATTTTACCACTACATACCTATTTTTGTATTATAATTTTATCATGAAGTAATTTTTAAAGCATATACAGAGTTACTCCCCTTGACTCTAAACGCCTGTTTATCAACAGCATCCGCTGACATCATTTATAAACTGAAATTAAATTTTCTAATTTTTAATTTGCAATTCTAAGTGTAAGTTTGAACATAATTTAGAATTCAAATTTAGATTATAGTACTATTATATAATTAACAACACTAAAAATTTATCCAAATAACAACACGAAACTGCGAGATCCAGAAATATTAAACAGACTGTAATCAGCTCGCAGTATCTGAAAATTGCGAAGTGCATGAAACTCCGAGTCGTATTGACGTATTATGCATATCTATTCATATATACTTAATAGCTCTGTTATTTTTCATTGAGCACTGATTTACTTACACCTAAGGATATATATATATATATATATATATATATATATATATATATATATATATATATATAATTATTTATTTAAAAATATGATTCCAACTCGCGACATAAGAGGTCTCATGTTTCAAAACAAGAGCCGAAAACTTCAGTATAATTATTTGAATTAAATTGAGTTAAAATAAGCTCTGTTCCATCTTCAAGCGAAATTTTTTTGGGAATAACGTATTTATGAAATTTACGTGTTTTAAAAATTGAAATCAAAATTTCCATGGTAACTGCTAGGGCGAATTGTTTAAATTGGGTAGGCGTGTGTTGGGTGTTAATAATAAGTATCAGTATAGAGTTACTTTCATAGATGTTAAGTCAGGGAAAGGTGGGGGTGTCTAAATTTGAAACGGAAGATGTATTAACCCTAGTCTGGTATGCGTGTCTATGGAGATTTATTTATTTTTTTATGAAAGGGATTTGTGCATATAAAAAAACTGCCGTAACGTTTGTTTTTTAACGACTTCATAAAGGGTTATCTTTTTTGTAGGGTAATTAAACTATTTATTTGGGCTATGGATTATGAAAGTTATTATATTGTATGCTTGTTTTTAGCTAATTATTCAAACCATGAATCTGATGATGTCGACAAAAACCGTTAACTCATGTCTATTGTTTAATAGATTATTATTGTTTAGAATATTAATAATGTAATTTCTCATGGAGGCACAAAGGGCATGGGTCATCCCAAGTTTTACATGTTCTAGCCCTGTTTATAATTTTCCATTTTACTTTAGGTGTCCTATTTGTTTCTTCAGATGCCAAAAATATTTAGATAGGGAAGTCTGATTTCTTTTATTTATATTATTGAAAGAGCACGTATGCTGCCTCCATCTATCTTTTAAATCATTCTTCGTGGACCCAATGTATATCATATTAGTGCTATATATATATATATATATATATATATATATATATATATATATATATATATATGTATTACCAAAATGTAATAAAAAGGGCAAAATTGAAGGAAGAGGAAATAAAAAAGCTCATGAATACTACGTATCTTCCAGGTTAAGCAATAATCACCCCGAATGGGACCAACCTAAATTTCATTCCCCGGTGTCTACACAGGACAGGACGTTGCATATTAATAATAATGGACACCATGATATCTAAATGGAGCCTCGTTCTAGCCCTGCGTATGACAGAAAAGAAATCAGGAGAATGATTCGTCCTGCAATCGACAAAATTTAAAAGGTGTTCGCCAATCGCTGACTCATGAGTCTGCGAACACTCGGATGTAATTGGTTCGTGCCTATGCACTTTACCCAGAACATGCCAGGCGATCCTCACCTCTAACTATATATATATATATATATATATATATATATATATATATATATATTTATTTTATGCATTTACATTACCAATATGCAAATACCTACTACAAAACTGTAAATCTTGTTTTGTGTATAATGCATTGTGATTCCCCAGCTGATGAATCCTTCAAAAAGTTTGTTTTTTTTACGTTGAAACAAGATGTACAGTTTTGTAGTGGGTATGTGCTTGTTGTAATGTAACACTGCATAATTCTGTAAATATTTAAGCTCTACTTTTGCATTGGGCCCTGTTTTTAAATAAATATTTTGAACGCTGAAATCTTAAATAAAATATATATATATATATATATATATATATATATATATATATATATGAACACTTGTATATATATATATATATATATATATATATATATATATATATATATATATATATATATATATTTATTGATCATGGCGCTTCTCAGCTTGATTTTTTTCTTTCAATGTTTGTCATCTGAGCATTGGACTGATTTTACGAGAATAATAGATGTGTGCTTTCAGGTAGTCTTCAACAGGGTTTCAAATTCAGGATATTCCTTTTAAGCTGTTACCGAGCCAAGGCTAAAGAGCTCCGTCTCCTCTTCTAACTCTAGCTGGATTCATCCTTTTCCCAAATTTAATGGTGTGGAGCGAGCAAAGTCTGTCTCAGACAGAACTTTCCTTCGTCACCCTGATTTCCTTTTCGGAAATGATCACCGCAAGGTCAGCCGTTCGTGCCCCAACCCCCACCACCACCCCACCACAGAGAAAAGCACCCACATGGGAAAAGAAGGCACCCCGGTTATATGCGAATTCAACTTATTACACACGTCTTTCTTATTTAATGTTTGTCCTTGTCAAATAGATAGATTCGCTTTCGGCAACAGAAGCAGATTTCAATTTTTGAATAAAAAGCTAAAAAAGCAAACATTAAAAAAAATGAAGTGACAAATAAATGCAGAATTAAACATTTAGAAGGCATAAATTTCTATCAAATATTCAAAATTCGGAGACACTTTCGGGTCAAAGTTTAAAATTTACTATTGGTTCAGAGTAGAATAAAAGAAGAAAGAAAAAAATTATAGGAGGAAATTGACAAAGAAATGAAACATATGAAAAAAGAAAAAAAGAAGTCATGGGTGAGAAAAAAAGAAGACATAGAAGAGAGAGAAGATATAAAAGAGAAAGAACGTAGACAAAAGAGAGAATGAAGGCAGAAGTAGATGATGATGTGAAAAATAAAGGAAGAAACATAAAAGGAAGAAGAAAAAAATGGAGGAAAACACAAAAAATAATAACGGAAAGGATAGAAAAACAAAAAATAAATAAAGAAAAGGGTAGAAAAACAGAAAAAGTAATGAAAAGTATAGAAAAACAGAAAAAATAAAGAAAAGAGTAAAAAAACAGAAAAAGTAATGAAAAGTATAGAAAAACAGAAAAATAAAGAAAAGGGTAGAAAAACAGAAAATAATAAAAAGGATAGAAAAACAGAAAAAATAAAGAAAAGTGTAGAAAAACGGAAAAATAATGAAAAGGATAGAAAAACAGAAAAGTAAAGAAAAGGGTAGAAAAATAGAAAAATAATAAAAAGGATAGAAAAACAGAAAAAATTAAGAAAAGGGTAGAAAAACAGAAAAGTAATGAAAAGGATAGAAAAACAGAAAAAATAAAGATAAGTATAGAAAAACAGAAAAAATAAAGGAAAGGATAGAAAAACAGAAAAAATAAAGAAACGTATAGAATAACAGAAAAAATATAGAAAAGGGTAGAAAAACAGAAAAAGTAATGAAAAGGATATAAAAACAGAAAAATAAAGAAAAGTATAGAAAAACAGAAAAAATAAAGAAAAGGCTAGAAAAACAGAAAAATAATGAAAAGGATAGAAAAACAGAAAAATAAAGAAAAGTATAGAAAAACAGAAAATATAAAGAAAAGGGTGGAAAAACAGAAAAAGTAATGAAAAGGATAGAAAAACAAAAAAAATAAAGAAAAGTATAGAAAAACAGAAAAAATAAAGAAAAGGTAGAAAAACAGAAAATTATAAAAAAGATGGAAAAACAGAAAAATAAGAAAAGTGTATGATAACAGAAAAAATGATAAAAAAATACAGAAAAACAGAAATAATAAAGAAAAGTGAAGAAAAACAGAAAAGTAATGAAATAGTTATGATAACAGAAAAATACTGAAATAGATGGGAAAAGAATAAAAAAGAAAAGGGTAGAAAAACAGAAAAAATATAGAAAGGAGTATAGAAACAGAACAAAATAATGAAATGGGTTGAAAAACTGAAGAAAAAGTCAAAAAAGGTGGGAGTAAAAACCGAAGAAACAGAAAGAAAGAAAGAAAGAAAGAAAGAAAGAAAGAACAATAAGAAGAATGGCGGAAAACAGAATAAAAATGAAGACGGATAAAGAAAAATAGAGGAGGAAGAAAGAGGCAATAATAATAATAATAATAATAAGAAGAAGAAGAAGAAGAAGAAGAAGACAAGAAGATAAACGGGAAAAAGAAGAAGTGGGATATTTGGTCGGATGTTGGATTATGTCTATGTTTTTGTCGAAGGGTAAATTGAAAAAAGAAGCGATTAAAAGAAGAAAAAGAAGAATCTGTGAAAAGAAGGAAAAAGTAGAAACAAGAACAAGAATACATATTTAAACAATTTTATTGAAGGTTAGGGGAATAAAAGAATGATAAATGACAAAAGAAGAGAAAGAAAGGCTGAAGACGGAATAGATTATAAAAGAGAATAAAAAAGAAGAGTAAGGAGGAAAAGAAGAGTAAGGAGGAAAAGAAGAGTAAGGAAAAAAAGGAAGAGTAAGGAGGAAAAGGAAAAGTAAAGAAGAAAAGGAAGAGCAAGGAGGAGAATGAAAGTAAGGAGGAAAAGAAGAGTAAAGAGAAAACGGAAGAGTAAGGAGAAAAAGAAAGAAGAAAAGGAAGAGTACGGTGGAAAATGAAAAGTAAGGAGAAAAAGGAAGTGTAAGGAGAAAAGCAAAAATGATGAGTCAGGAGGAAAAAAGAGTACGAGGGAAAATGAAAAAGGAAGAGTAAGTAGGAAAAGAAAGAGTAAAGATGATAACGAAAAGTAAGGAGGAAAATGAAGTATAAGGAACAAAAGGAAGAGTAAGGAAAAAAGAAGAGCAAGGAGGAAAATGAAGTGTAAGGAACAAAAGGGAGAGTAAGGAAAAAAGAAGAGCAAGGAGGAAAATGAAGTGTAAGGAACAAAAGGGAGAGTAAGGAAAAAAGAAGAGCAAGGCGGAAAATGAAGTGTAAGGAACAAAAGGAAGATTTTAAGGAAAAAAAAAAGAAGAGCAAGGAGGTAAACAAAAATGAAGTGTAAGGAACAAAAGGGAGATATAAGGAAAAAAGAAGAGCAAGGAGGAAAATGAAGTGTAAGGAACAAAAGGGAGAGTAAGGAAAAAAGAAGAGCAAGGAGGAAAATGAAGTGTAAGGAACAAAAGGAAGAGTAAGGAAAAAAGAAGAGCAAGGCGGAAAATGAAGTGTAAGGAACAAAAGGAAAAGTAAGGAAAAAAGAAGAGCAAGGCGGAAAATCAAAAGTAAGGAGGAAAAAGAAGAGTAAAGAGGAAAATCAAAAGTAAGGAGGAAAAAAAAAGAGTACGGTGAAAAGGAAGAGCAAGGAAGAGACAAAGGAAAAGCAAGGAGGAAAATGAAGAATACTGAATAGGTCAAAATGGAGAGTAATCAAAGTAACAAGTAATGTTCGCAGAAAAATACCAACGTGGACATTTATTAAAGCAACAGAATAAGAATAAAGCCATTAGGAACGTGACTAGAAGGAAGAGTGAGTTCATAGCGGAAGAAAGCAAAATAAGGCGGCAGGTTTAAATCATAAAGAGAAAAACAATTAGAGATGTAAGTAATGGAAAATTTAAAGAACATATTGTAGATAAAAACTGGAGAGTGAGAGCCAAGAGAAAGTGCAAAGCCTCTAATATATAAATATTCAGAGAAAACGGAACAAAATGAAGACAGTTTAATGAGACTAAAGAAAAAGAAGAGCAAAAATAGCGTAAAAGCTGTAAGATATTAAAAAATGAGAAAAAGCAAGGCAATAATATAAACGAAGATTAAGGAGTGTCGAGTAAAAAAGAGCATATGATAAAAGGAGAGTAAACATGACAAAACCCCTCAAAAGGAAACAACAACAAAAGGCGGGAAAAAGGGGAAGATATTTTAAAAACGGGGAGGAAAAGAAGGGATTACAGAAAAAAAAAAGTTAGAGATCGAGTCTTAACTTGAAAAAGACAAAGCTTTGAATGTTAAATGGGTGAGAAAATAAGCATAAAGTACAAAAAAATAAAGGAAAGGAAGGAGGAGTTTTCTCACTCGGTTAGGTCTTTAAAGGGTGAGGGATAAACGGTTTAGTTGGTTTTATAGCTTTAGTTTGGCAGGATGTCGGCACTCTTTCTAGCCTTCTTCTATCTTAATTCACCTTCAGGATCTCATGACCGCCATTACAAAAACAACTTTGAAAACAAACACCCAAAAATGAAAGGTGAGAATCATTCTCTTTCTTTCTTTCTTACTTTCTTTCTTTCTTTCTTTCTTACTCTTTTTTTTCTTTCTAGAATGCCCCCAACTTCCATGCTCTTCCATTATACGCACACAATTTCCTAAAACACCACAAATACAGACACATGCACATGAATCGACACAATTGATTAAAGGCGGAATGACAAAGTTATAAAATAGACTGAGAATACACACGTTGTGTACAAGCAATGATTTTTTTCCATTTCCATACACACAGCTTTTCATTATTAGACAGATATCGTCTTCTCATTGTGAATTCATCAGCACATTTATGCAAACACAAAGAAATAGATATGATTCGCCTTCTACGTGTGTATATGTGTGTGTTTGTGTGTGTGTTTGCGCGCGTGCGCAAATGGATGAACGTCATCCCGACAAACATTCAAAGTATTATCCAAAGAGCAAATCTCATTTTCCTATACATATGTTTCGATCCATTCATTAGTCATTTTCGTGTACAAATCTCTGAGAGGAAAAGAAAATATTTTTCCTACATGGTGGCTAAAAAAAAAGGTGGTCATCGATCGCATATGTGTTACCTCCAAAGAAAATTTATTCGGCTGATCGAATTCAAATTTTTGTGAATTCTTGAGTGTGCATCTTTTTTTCACTTATGGCTAAAGCTGAAGCGCAAATTATGCTTTTCAGCTTAGGGAGAGAAACCACTCTAGAATAAGAGTCAGTCAGTTATGTGCCATGAGTGATACACGCTTAGGCGATCATGTAGCTTTCGATACATGACTGACGAGGCAGATGTTTTTCCCGCAGTAGGTTGCCATTTCTTTCTGCGGTAGACCAGTTGCCCCCCAAAACTATAGAACCTGGTCTGTCCCATGGGAGAAAAGAAGAGGATTCATACCTTTCCCAAGGGTATTAGCACGTAAATGAATGTAATGGATTCGACTAGAATTCGAACTTGGATCTCCGAGTTCGAATTCCTTCAATCTACCGCCAACTCCCCACAATGAATAAAGTAAGGAAGTATAAAATCTGTTAATCCTTCTCGTGTCTGACGATCCATAGAACAGCTTGATTATTTCGTTTTTGGTTTCTTTTTTAACAATTAATTATGTATAGTATTGTATTATTACCAATTAATTATTGTTTATTTAATTTGTATTCGGACTAATATCCTCATCATTGTTATTATCACAACGTTTCGGTCATTATACTCTCCGGCCTTCTTCTATCTGGGTAAACTTCAGGGTAATTCAAACTTTAATCTACGGGGTAGATTGTTTTCATTCTGCTAACCATGCCTGGGTGTATCACGCCTTCTTCAATTTGTTTTACTATAATTTTTGCAACACTCTGACGAGTATTGAAAACTTCACAGTATTTAGTATCGTTGAATTTATCATTAACATTTTTTCTCGAGATTTACAAAGTCTACGTTTCATTTAATTTTGTAAACCAATCGATGAAATTTGAATAAGCTTGTCTGTTTGGAAAAATACTTCAACAAAAACCCTATTTCATGGTTTAATAATTTCTTTAATTTGATTTTATTTTATAAAACTTCATGGTTAGCAATATTTTTTTAAGAACATTTGTTTTTTTCGTTTTTAACAGCAAAGAATACATTCTTAGAATTTCTTACCCTTGAGCATGCAACATACAACTGGCTATGCATGAATAGATTCTTTCTGGAGCCAAATTCCAAATTTTTGAAGCATTTGACCTTATTATTAGCTTATAATTCTCGCGATACGAACTAGAAAACTAGATTCAAACAATATTGCATTTTTATTAAATAAGTATTTATTATTTTAATCATTAAATTGTTTTTAAAATAGTAGGAATATTGTGTATATTAAATAATAAAAATTTTAATTTTTCCAAAGACTTAATGAAAATTTATTGTATTAATCTGCGCACCTAGTAAAACCAATTGTGCTTTGTATCCCCTTACCTGTTTGAACTTATCCCTAAAATTTGGTTTCTATCATGTCGATGTATGGCTATTTTAGAGGGTGTAATGAACTGACCGACAAAAGGACTATTGGAAGTCACAGAACTTATATATAGATTGCTAAGTTATTACTCGCCTTGTTTTCCACAGAGTCTAAAGCCTTTTTGCCCTGATCTGTTAACCCTTCATCCAAAATACTTACCTAGGCCATTCTCTGTTTTCCTCTTTTCCTACTGCTTTTAATAAAACCTGGAAAGGGTAAGTTTGTCAAGCCCTATCTTCCAGAAATAACAATTAGCTCTTTCTTATTTCAGGAGTGTATCCTTTTAGTTACTATTTTCATCTTCACTGAATACCTTTTCTGTTCGATTCAGTTGTGGCTCCGTTGGAGGACAGAGGCACAACTGAAGAAAATACGGCGTGCTATCCAGCCCTGGGGAAGAGCTGCCCGAGGTGCACACTCTTTTTCCACTAGAGAGAGCGCAGGCGATGGTTGCGGTGTCTCGGGAAATTATTATCCCTGACCCGACCTTGTGTCACATCACGTCTCAGTGAGGATACAAATAGTAAATATCTACTCGTTCAGTTTATGGTATTCTCAAATCTTTCCTTGAGGACACATGGCAGAGTGGATAAAGGCGTTATGTAGATCCAGTGACAGGACACAAAGAGTGTGAGTTCAATACCTGGTTAAGGCGGTGGAGAACTCGGAGAGGGGAATTACCAGGAGATAACTGATAACTGACATCCACTAGATATGGCACGTGGAACTAGAACTATCTAACCCAGCGAGCGAAATAAAGGGTTCAGTTCGACATTCCAACCACCTGAAGAAGACCGGAGCGTACAAAGGCTGAAACGTTGTGATAAATATGGCAAGAAAGATGAGGACAATAGTCGGAATAATGTAAATAGTGTACATAATGCCTCATCTCAGAAATATAGACAGATACCGAAAGGCCGAAACGTTGTAATAAATATGGCAACAAATATGAGGACAATAGTCCGAATAATGTAAATAGTGTACATAATACCTCATCTAATGGTTGTCAGTTATCAGTTATATCCTGGTTCTCCACTGCCTTAACCAGGTATTGAACTCACACTCTTTGGGTCCTGTCACTGGACACATGGCACAGTGGATAAAGGCGTTAGGTAGATCCAGTGACAGGACCCAAACAGTGTGAGTTCAATACCTGGTTAAGGCGGTGGAGATCTTGGAGAGAGGAATTACCAGGAGATAACTAATAACTGACATCCATTAGACATGGCACGTGGAACTAGAACAGTCTACCTCAGCGAGCAAAATAGAGGGCTCAGTTCGACATTCCAATCAACTTAAGAAGGCCGATGCTACAACGTCCGAAACGTTGTGATAAATATGGCAACAAAGATGAGGACAATAGTCCGAATAATGTAATAGTGTAAGATTTGGCACGATTTTAAGAAGGTTTTGTATCTTCGTTTTTTCTGCTGTTGTTGTATTACCCTTCATTTTTTCCAAAGTCGTTACAATGTATACATAGAGATCAACAGCGTAAGGCCTAGTCAGTACCTAGATTGATGGCCGGTTGAGAATATCAGGTGCTGTAAGTTATGGTGTGCGGGTGTTGTAATTGTCAATCGGAAAGATAAATTTCAATATCCGTTGGCCTAGTTATATTCAATCATGCGAAAATATACTAGAGAAAGGAATGACTTCACCACTTCTCTCTCCCGGCTCTGGGTTAAATAGTAAGACTTGTATCACTAAATCATTATTATCTTTCTAAAAAGTCCTTGCATTCAAAAAATATTTCCTGGCTTTAAATAATCCGCAAAGGGTTGATAAACCATAAAAAAATCAGTCAGAATCACCAGTGTATGTCAATTCCATTCCTCAGATGATCTTGATTATACACAAACACACATAAACACACACGTGTATATATATATATATATGCACATTTCATTGAATACGACAGACAAGGTGCTTTCATTATTTTTTTATACAATTTCTCATGTGACCGAATATCTTTTTTCTTTTTGGGTGATAAATTATATAAATATATATATATTCGTAACATACTTGTTGATAACACAAATGTAATAGCATCATCTACATGCAAAAAAAAAATAAAAGCCAAAAATAATGAAAGTCTTATTAATAAAAAGGAAATAAACAGCACTCAATAATATCAACGATGATCATGGACACAATATCCGGACCGTGTTTGGAAAATGAAAACTTGATATAAATACATGCATACAACAATCTGTTTCTTGTTAGTAGTTAATATATCTCTACTTTGAAAATGACTAAATGTATAGCCGAAAGTGATCGGATAAAAAGGACAATTAGGCTGTTTTTTTCTAAACGAAAAGAAAATTTTTTTTACGCCACATGAGAAATTGTATAAAAATCTAAATCAAAGCACCTTGTCTATAGTATTCAGTGAAATGTGAATCAAATAAGGATTGCTGCCTAAATACACACACGCATAAATATAATATATATATATATATATATATATATATATATATATATATATATATTTGTGTGTGTGTGTGTGTGTGTGTGTGTGTCACAGGCGGCCAAAACCGCCGTACGCAAGCCACATCTGGTTGTTTGACCTTTTATCGTTGAGATGTTTGCAAACAATGAAAAAATAGCATATATACTGACGCCGAATAGCGTCAGCAGAGAGCTAGCCGGAAGTGAGCCTTATATCCTTACTACAGAATTCAGTAAGACTACGTCGGCTCCAAGCGACATTATATTTCATGAGTGCGCTATCTTCATTCAATGGAATGAAGACATAACAGTGGCGAGGAGGATTAGAATTCACACGAAAAAGAAAAAATTCTCTTGTTTATTATAAATCGGTGAAGGCAAAAATTCAAAATTCACGACAAAAATGTTGTGGAATTCATAGGGCAACGCAGGGGTCGATAAATTTCAAAGTTGTATGACATACTGCAATTAGGAAAAAACTTTTCTTCCTAGTTAAGGACTACTTGTATGAAAATAATACACTATGGGAGAATTGAAGATAATTATTCATCTACTATTACAACAAATGTAGTGGGAGTGGAATGAATATCGAGAACAGTTGAAGTCAATCCTGGAAACAGGCAATGCGTCAAAATTATTTTCGCCGGACACAGTCACTAACATTACATTCCTGTCATACTTCAGAAGGTACGATGCATTTTTCAGTGAAGAATATCAAGGATGGTCGGGTGAAAAGAAATTACGTCTTCAGTTACGAAAATTTTGCCGCGCAGAACGTTGCGGAAATACGCTCTCGATTCCTTGCAAAACTTGAACAGGATTCAAAGTTAACGATAAAGACAATTGCGGAAGAGTGCCAGAAATTATCAATTTAAAGCTCCATAGAGCGAAAATCAAACAAAATTATACGTCAGAAGTAAAAGTAGTTCGAAAAAAGACAGTAGTACCAAAAGAAAAAATCCGAAATAAAAATACTGTCAATCTTAACCCATGCTAGGACTATGGTATGCTTCATTTCAGAACAGACAGTCCATTTGAAACGAAAAAATGTTTTAATTGTGAAAATAGATGTCACAAACGAAACCACTGCAAGTCGAAATGCAAAAGAAATACAT